AGAAAGGTGCACACCGCTGCTGCTTGTCTAGTCCGCCACAAAGACGTGTCATTGCCCACCGTGTCTGCAATTTGTCATGAAGTTATTACCGGGGTAGCCATCATATTTTGACAGAGGCAGGAGCCCTTTGAGTGTTTGCAAAACCTTTGGGTGGTTCCTTTGGGTGTTTGCAAAATCTAAAAGTTTTTTTTACTACCAGTTGTGTGGGTGTGGCTTGGTGGGCATGGCACGGCTTGGTGGGTGTGGCTTGGTGAGCATGACATGACTTGGTGGGTGTGGCTTGATGGGCATGGCACGGCTTGGTGGATGTGGCTTGGTGGGCATGGCAGGGGAAGGATACTGTAAAATCTCCATTCCCTCTCCACCCCAGGGGAAGATTATTGCAAAATCCCCATTTCCTCCTGATCAGCTGGGGACCGCAGAGCATAGATGGGGCAGGGCAAGTCAGATGTGGAATTTATCGGTTCTCCGAACTACTCCAAATTTCTGCTACTAGTCCTCCATAACTGGTCAGACCTGCTGAATAACGACCTCTGGTGCTGAGGGATTCTCTGGCTGCTGATGAGTGTTGAGTGGCTTTTCTATAAAAACTGAGTAATGCGCTTTCCCACTGATTTTTCCCCCTTCCCATTATTGTTCCTGTTGCCTTTACCACCATCTCTTTCCCCTCTCCCATTCTATTGTTGGCTTCCTCTTATTTTTCGATGCATTCTGCTGTAATATGTTTATGTAGCTGTAACCAGGGGCTGAATGTGTGACTGGTTGTTCTCTTTTTAACTGGTATCTATACATTAATTAAGTTTATTTATATGCATAAACAAACTCGGTGAGATATGGCAGTTTAAAAAAAATGTGGGCAATGCAGTGCAATAATGAAGGCCATGCAAGCCAGTGATGCTCCGTTTCTTTTCCTGCCGCCATGAGACAAAATTCTGAACTGCCTTTGAACCCGATTATGTAAATCACTGGGGATTTTGCTTGTAAACTTCACACATCATGATAAGCCCTGGCTTCTTTCGGCAGTGGGCTGTTGAGCAAGCCTGATTGTCTGAAGCAGACAAAGTTTCGGCTGCAGGCAAGGGAAAGAAGAGGAGTTTGCCCCTGCACCATTCAAAATTCATATGTTTGCTTAAAAAATAGCTTCCGTAGTAGTCCAGGGTTAGATATCTGATGGTTTAATTGTTTTCATTTGTTATTTTATTACAACAAGCTAAAAGAAGAAAATGTATCTCTGCAATAATATTAGCACCATAGAATTTACTTGGTACGTAATAAGCAAATAAAATAAAATGTACTATGAAGAGGGGGAAAAAGAAAACTCAACCTTATTACCCCAAAGTCTTGTTCCTTTGTTACGAAAAGTTGTTGACAAATTGCGTGTATCAGAAATCTACAAGTAGTCCTTGACTTACAACAGTTCATTTAATGACCGTTCAAAGTTACAACTGCACTGGAAAAAGGGATTTATGACACACTTGCAACCATTGCAACATCCCCATGGTCATGTGATTGAAATTGGACCTGGACTCCAATTGCGCAGAGCCAGCCGAGGTACCGGGGGAAGGTCTTGAACGACACCTCTGGACTGACTTTCAACCTGTTGCTCCTGATGAAGTGGACAAGGCCATGGGAGCGGTGAGTGCTGCCACATGTGTACTGGACCCGTGCCTCTCCTGGCTGGTCGTGAACAGCAAGGAGGTGACGCAGAGCTGGGTCCAGGCGATGGTGGATGCTTCTCTTCGGGAGGGCTTCTTCCCACCGGCATTGAAGATAGCAGTGGTGAGACCCCTCCTGAAGAAGCCATTGCTGGAACAACTACCGTCCAGTCTCCAACCTTTCCTTCATTGGGAAGGTTGTTGAGAAAGTGGTGGCCTCGCAACTCCCATGGCCTTGTCCACTTCATCAGGAGCAACAGGTTGAAAGTCAGTCCAGAGGTGGCGTTCAAGACCTTCCCCCGGTACCCCGGCTGGCTCTGCGCAATTGGAGTCCAGGTCCATCCGAAGCCGAGCAACTTTGTCCGCGAGGAACTGGACATATTCCTCTGCTCTATCTTGTAAAGCGTTATCCGCAACCCCCGTATTTACGAGGGAGCGGGTCACCCTAAACAAGGCGGCAGGGCGAGACTCAGCGGACGCTATCAGAGCGGCAATGTG